TACCAAATCAAAAAAAAATTAATTTATGTTTAATATAAGTTCTTTTTAGATAATGATTTTATCAAATAAAAAAACTTCATTTTTAATTTATGGTTAATTATATATTCATTTTCATTTATTTTATGGCTAACTAATAAAAGCTATTTTTAGATAATGATAATCATCTAAGGGTTTTTTTCAAAAATGACTCAAAACTCTAAGTCAAACACAAAATTAACCTTCTTTTTTTTGGACATTTCATTTGCCCAATACACCCTAGAAGTTCTGATTGTTTGCAAATATGCCATCATTTTTATTTAATTTTATTTTTTGAAAATGAGTGTTTTATTCTCTAATCCTCATCTTCATCAATTAGTCACAAAAATTCCAGTAACATCAATTCACCTAACAACCATGAACAACCAAAATGAAACTCTTAATGCATCTAAAAACGAAATTTACTCATTCATTCTTAACTTATGCCCAAAAACTACATCTCTCTCACTTTCTAACTATATTCATCCAAAAAATCCAAGCTTATTGATTCTAAAGTTTTTGAGGGTCATATAGTTATCCAAACTCACGATTTCTGATCATTAACGATTGAGTAGATGTTCTAGTGAAGTTGTGTGTGCTTGGAGAACTAAGGAAGTTCTCTAAGGGCTTGAAAGTATGAATTGATTTTTTTTCCAGACTTGTTCGCTAGAAGAGTTACTTTTGAAAGTCTTCGTAAGTTTTGCCATTCTAGAAGACTTCCAAGGAAGTCTTCTGGTCAAAGAATAAGTTAGTTTTGCAATTGAATTTCTGTGTCTTTTTTAGAAAATACTTTGGTGGAAATTTTTGAATTTTCTTTGTTGGCAAAAAAAATTTGAGAAGACTTACCTAGAAGTCTTCTCAGATAAAATGTTAGTTTTGCAATTGACTAATCTGTGTTAGAAATATGACTTTCTACGTAAGACTTCTAGGTAAGTCTTCCGCTGGAAGACTTACCTGGAAGTCTTCTCAACCTTTATATTAAGTCTGCTGAAGTCTACGTAGGTTACTTTTGCATTGAAAAGTTAAACTCAAAACATTTAATTTAAACTGGGAGACTTCAAGGTAAGTCTTCTCAAGTAGTTTCAAGAATTTTTTGTATAAGTAAAGTAAGCCAATATTTACATAGGAAGACTTCCAGAGAAGTCTCCTATAGAGGAGACTTCCTTTGCAAATTTTCAATTGCAAAAATGACCTACACGAAAGACTTACTAGAAAGTCCTCTGCCAGAAGACTTACTTGAAAGTCTTCTCTAGGAAGACTTCCAGGTAAGTCTTCTACGATAATGTATAGTAAACTTTCATTTTCTTCAAATTTAAAATGAATTCTTAAGTTTTTATTATTAATTCATTAGACAATATTTGGGGTCTTGAATAAAATTCATCACTTGATAGGTGATAATTATGAGGTTACCAACATTCATGTTTTTTAATCTTTCTAGCGAATGATAGAAGACTTCTAAAGAGTACACATGAAAATCACAAAACAGACCACAAATAAAACTTTATAGATCATTCCTCCATAAAGACAATCTTGGACTCCATTTGATATGAGAGAAGACTTAAGATTACGGCATAAGACTAAATACTACATCAGAAGACTTAAGACGACGTCAGAAGAATTAAGACGACGTCAGAAGACTTCCAAAAAAGTCTTCTTAACGTCTTCTGTAAGTTTTCTGATGTCTGACTCACATCTGAAAAAACCTATATATCCAAAAACGTTCAAATGACATCAAAACATAGAAAAAATCATAAAAAATGGTTTTAAACTTAAATAATATCTAAAACAATCACATTATGTCGAATCTATAACTTATTAGAATCTAACATATAAAAAAACAAAAAAAATACATATAATTTTTTTTAAGATTTACCCTTAAATGAGTACAAGATGACAACTATGTAATGAAAAACCTGCAAAAACAAGATAAAATAGCGAGAACCACATAAAATGATATATTGATATAACTTTTGATGTTTTCATGTTTAAAGAGATTAAAAAGAGGTTGAAGAATTTTAGTTTAGAAAAAAGATAAGAACTTTATGCAACAATAGAATACTGAATGAGGAAAATCAGACATGAAAACTTACCAAAACGCTCAGATCTGTTGTGAAAGAGGAGACATGGAGAAGACTATGCCAGAAGCCTTAAGACGACGTCAGAAGATTTAAGTAAACGCCAGAAGACTTCCAGGAATGTCTTCTGTAAGTCTTCCAATGTCTGCCTCAGATCTAAAAAAGCCTGAATATCCAAAAACGTTCAAATGACATCAAAACATAAAAAAAAATTCAAAAAACAATGTTTTAAGCTTAAATAATTACTAAAACAATCACATTATGTTGAATCTATAACTTATTAGAATCTAATATACAAAAGACACTTCCACTTTCTCGGTCCGAAAAGTGCATAGTACCAAAGGCACCCTATAATTTCATAATAAAAAATGGAATATTGGCTATGGAGATTCCGCGCGGTCAGAAATTCATATAGACACAAAGGGGTTCGATAGGAAAGTCCAAAAACTACATATAAAAATTTATAGATCTACTTTTAAATGAGTGAAAATGACATCTATGTAATGAAAAACCTGCAAAAACAAGATAAAATAGTGAGAAACACATAAAAATGAGAAATTTATATAATGTTTGGTGTTATCAAATTCAAATAGTTTAGAGAGAGGTTGGAGAATTTTAGAGTGCGAAATATTTGATTTTTGTTGCCTCCATTTGAGAGGAAGAAAGAGAATATGTAACCTTTTATTAATATAGGAAGACAAAAATTATAATTAGGTTAAATATTTTTGATACAAAAGACTTTAGAAAACTTTTAGAAGACGATACACGCAAAAGTCTTACTTTAAAGACTTACTATTTGCCCAAAAAGCTTACTAGTTGAGCGGGAAATAGTATTATGGAAAACTTAAGAAGACTTTGGGAGACCTACTGAAAGACTTTAAGTAGGTCTTCTGAGGTGTTCGAATGTCTTCCAAAGTTTTGAATCTGGAAAACTTACTGGAAGACTTTAAGTATGTCTTCCGAGGTCTTCTAGTAGGTCTTCCAAAATCTTCTTAAGTCGTCCATATTATCATGACTAACTTACATTCACTCATCTATGTTGAAAACAATTCAATTTTATTAAGTCTAAATTTTATATCACTTACAAATGTCTATAATTAGATGATTATGATTTTCTCCCTATAAAAATATTTTTGTATGAAATTTATAAATTATTTTAGAATTAATACACTAGAAAACTTTCCCTGGAAGACTTTATAAGACTTTCTCTGGAAGACTTTAGAAGACATTGGAAGACTTAATTTTAATCAGAAAAACTAAATTTGTTTAGAACTTTAAGTGGGAAACCTAAATTTTGAGCGGCAAACTCTTATCAAGTCTTCATAAGTCTTCATCAGTCTTCCGAAACCCCAAAATAATATTTTTATATATATATATATATATATATATATAACTAAATCACATACAAAGACTTTATTAAACTTAAACTAAACTTAGAAATTGTTTAATCTACACAAAACTAAACACATATAGCTAAAATCTATTTATTTTTTTAAATGTTAAGATTCCACAATCTAACCCTAAAACATACATACAATACTACAACATGGTTATCAAAACATACACCAAAGAATATCATGCTTTGTTACATTCACTCTTCTATGTTAAAAAAAATTCAATTTTATTAAGTCTAAATTTATATCACTTACCAAATAATCACTTCACAAATATATATATATATATATATATATATTATAATTTAAAACTTTTAAAATAATTCTAATGTAACTGATTTTTATAACACAACATAAATTATTAACTGTCAATTCAATGATTTTCTTTTAAAATTATGGTTGATTATATATTAACAAATATAATTATTCATTAAGAATAACAAATATTTTATTACATAATATAATTATTTTTAGATAAGATAAAATCAATGAAATTTATTTTAATTCATGGTTATATATTATTCATTTTTAGTTTATGGTTAATTAATATAAATTATTTTTTTGATAGTGAAATCATCAAATTAATAATTTGTTTATATTTATGGTTAATTATATATTAATTCATTTATAGTTTATAGTTAATTATATACTAATAAATATAATTATTCATTAAGGAATTAATGACTATTTAGTTAAAATCATAAAAATGATAAATAAGTAAAATTATCTAAAATCATCGAGAAGTTGAAAAATCTGAAAATTTACTTCTCAAATAATAAAATAGATATTAAGTTAAAATCATACAAACATGATAAGTAAGAAAAATTACCTTAAATCATGAATAAGTTGACAAATCAGCAAATTTACTTCTCAAAATAATAGAATAGATCATTTATTTTTAGGTAATGATAATCAAAAAATCAAGGAAATTTGTTTTTAATTTATCTTTAATTATATATTAATTCCTTTTTAGTTCATGGTTAATTAATATATATTATAGTTAGATAATGAAATCATCAAACAATATTTTTTTCTAATTTATGGTTAATTATATATTAATTATTTTAGATTGTAGTAAATTATATATTAATAAATATAATTATCCATTAAGGGAATTAATAATTAATTAGTTAAAATCATAAAATATGATAATTAAGTAAAATTACCTAAAATCATGGAGAATTTGACAAATCAGCAAATTTATTTCTCAAATAATAGTATAGATATAGCTTTCAAACTAATATATTTCAGTTTTTTATGAAAAAATACAATCTTTCAACATTAAATTGGATTGCTATTATTAATATATATATATATATATATCTATTAATATATATATATATATATATATATATATTAATATAAATTTACAGATGTAGCTTAATATGAAACAAATACAAACCTAAACTAAACTAGATATATCGTAGAAACAAAATACTCATATATCTTTGTGTGCTTAATCATGGGAAAGAAAAATAACGAGATTTTAGCCAAAAACATTAAAAAAAATAACGAGATGTTCAATCCACTCAGCGAGTGGAACCTCACTATAACGTTGACAGCATCAGACATAGATGTGAGCAATCCGATAACGATCCCGAAAGAGTTAGTAGAAGCCAAAATCTTTCCCCGGTGGGGTAAAATACGTTGCGAAGCAATGCAAGAACCTGATTCGTTCGTGATGGTGAATCTCTATTGCCACCATTCTAACGGTACAAAAGGTGTGGCAATGAAGAAAGATGAGCATGGAAATTTCAAGTTATATGGGTGGCATTCCGTTCTTGAGGGAAGAAGTATCAAGACGGGTGACGTTATTGGGTTTTGGTGGGATAAATATTCTGGTAGGCTTAATCTCGAACTACTCGTGATTGCTTAGTCGATGGAGCGGATCCTCGCAACTTCATTTTTTGAATTTGTATATGAGTACATTCTGATTTGCTGATGCGTTTATGATTAAGTTGTTTTAGTTCTACATATTTTAATCAAGCTCTGTTCTCAACTTCAGTTTCAATGATTACTAGAGATCATACATGTTATTAATTATAAATAAGATAAATCTAATTAATAAGATAAATCTATTTGGCATTGTTTTATCCAAAAAAAGTTGGCATTTTCAGAATATAATTTTAAGGAAGCAATCTGAGAGAGCCTGTATTTTTCAATGTCAACGTATATCTTTTTCAAAAAATAAATCAATATATCAATGAAACTAAAGTAATTTATATAAGAACTGCATAGAGTTGTATCGGGAAAATGGCATATTCCTACCCAAACAATTTCAATCGTGTCAAATACAACCCGAATAAATTGTCAATGCCAAATATGACCTGAACTACGTTATAATTCATAAAAACTACCTGAACTTTTTAAAACGTGCATAAACCTACATTGACCGTAACAGAAGTTAGTCAATCATTAAAATGATAAAAATATGCACATTCTGGGATTCAAACCCGTGCCTTGTCACTCTTTAAAATAAACACATCAACCACTAGACTAAAGAAACTTCTTGATATAATACAACAAATTTGCAATTATATATGCTACTATACTTTTTCATCTTCTCTAATTAAAACTTTGGTTATTATTATTTTTGATTCTTATAAATATATTAACATGTTTTTTAATTATTATATCTTTAATAAGTTTATATTATACTAAAATATAAATATTAAAATATTTATATTTATACAAATTTAAATATATTTCATATTTTGTACATATTTACAAAATTTCCATATATAAATTATTTTAAAAATTTTAAACTTGAATGGTAATTACTTTTATTTTGGCAAAGTATATTTCCTCAGGTAAAAATTAATATAAGTTGAATATACTTTGCCAAAATAAAAGAAATTACCATTCAAGTTTTAAATTTTTAAAATAATTTATATATGGACGTTTTGTAAATAGGTACAAAATATGAAATACATTTAATTTTGTATAAATATAAATATTTTATTATTTCTATTTTAGTATAATATAAACTTATTAAAGATGATATAATTAAAAAACATGTTAATATATTTATAAGAATCAAAAATAATAATAACCAAAGTTTTAATTAGAGAAGATAAAAAAGTATAGTAGCATATATAATTGCAAATGTGTAGTATTATATCAAAAAGTTTCTTTAGTATAGTGGTTGATGTGTCTCTTTAAAAGAGTGACAAAACACGGGTTCGAGTTCCGGAATGTGCATATCTTTTAAAAAAAAAATGAAATCAAAACGACGTCGTTTTATCATTTTAACGGTTGACTAATTTCTGTTACGGTCAATATAGGTTTATACACGTTTTAAAAAGTTCATGTAGGTTTTTTGAATTATAACGTAGTCCATGTCGTATTTGGCACTAACAATTTGTTCGGGTTGTATTTGGCACGATTGAAATTGTTTGGGTAGAAATATGCCCTTTTCCCGAGTTGTATCAGTCTAGTTTTTTTTTTCATAGTATCGGTCTATAACCTTGAAGTGAGAGCTTAAATTTCAGTTATCACGGTATAATAATAACTAGAGCTTGATCCGTGCATCCACACGAGAATTTATTTTTACTTTAATTTTTTGTTTGTATTAAATAATATAATATATATTTGTAAATTTAAGTGTATTATATAATCGTTAATATGAAATTTTAAAATAAGATTTTAAACAAATATTAAATATTTATATTTTATGTTCTAACATTCTATTGTATTGTCGACACTGAGTATGATATAAACAAAATTAAAGTACAATAAATTCAGTTAATTTTTTAACTAACATATGAATGGGTGTATTATATCAAAGGACGTTATATATTTAATTTCTAGTCAAAGATTTTGACCTGTGACTAATTATTTACTATAACATTACTAAACATAATAATTGTATAGCTTATATTTAATATTTTTATTTTATTTTTTGAACCGTCAACTATATTATCTACATTTCTTATATTATATACACACAAATTTAAATGAATATTTTATTCTAAATTTACATAGATTTTAAAAAAAACTTAGCATAATATTAGTAATCACATATATTATAGTTTGGCGAATCCAAAAACATACATATCATTTTTTACATATATTTCTTTATAAGTTTTAACCACTTTTCCAATAAATATAAATTTAATAATTGTTCTTTGATGTATGCTTCCGTGCTAACGCACAAATAAATGATTATTGTAATTGATATTTATAATGTATGTATGCTTATTTTTAAGGTTTATGATTAAGCGTGAAAAAGGAATGTATTAAAATTTAAGTGAATTTATTGTATATTAAATTTAAGAGATTAATTATAAATTAGGAAAATAGAATAAGTACTTAATTTTAGGGATTAGTATTTTGTTATTCAGTGGCATAGAGCTGTAAATAAATTGTAAATTTAAAGAGTAATTCTTATTTGTACTTTTATTTTAATAATATAGATATATGAATTTAATGTCATTATTAGTCAGAATAAAGAGATTTATTTTTTCATAATTTAATTATATTTCCCTTATCCGTTTTCGATTACAATTTTTTAAATTAATGTAATGCTTTATTTATTTTTGTTGTAAAATTGATATTATACTATTGATTTGCAGGAAAAAAGCACAGTACATTCAAATGAAATCTCTTCATTTTATAAGCATCTTGCATTCGAACGGTTTACGGGTTTGATTAGTCCTTATGGTATAGGAAGGGTTCACCGGATCAACTAATTAATGATCGGACCGATCAGATGGGTACAGCTTTCTTAAGTCGAGAACCGGTTAGGAAATTAAATTTAGAAAAGCTGATTAAACAAAAGTGCAAAACTAATAAAAATATAGGCAGCGTAGAGACATGACTGATCATGAACTTGAGAACAGAGAGTGCCTCGAAAGTGCCCTAATTTTCCAAATTTTAATGTAAGAGAAGGCTCTCTAAAAATGGCATTTTCTCTTTCCATTTTCTTCATCTCTCCCTTCTCCATAAGCAATTAAAATAAGAATACGAAATTAAAGGATGTTTTCAAAATTCGAAACCTTTCTTGGTACATATAGCTCTGAACAGAAAAAGATCACAAAGAAGTTTAAATTATACAGAAAAAGAAAATCGATACTTGTTCACAGATTTAGAGGATTTCGAACCCTAGCAGTCGCGGCGTACAGAGATGACGAAGACCGAGTGATCTTTATAAAGGAAGTAACGAGGGTAGAAAAGTCTTTCCCGATGCTGTATTTTTTTTTTTTTGGCTTCAACCCTCTTTACGAGAAGAAAGAGGATTCAGTTCTTGAAATTGATTCGATAACCGGTTCGACTAGGAATCTCTAAACGGACCGGTTTTCATCAACCCTTTTATGTTCTTTTTCCCAAAACCGCTAATTCCTCTTCTCCGCCAAACAAAAGATCAAACCTTTAAAAAGGAAGAGGAGAGTTTCCCCCTTTTCATTGTCAACGAAATTGATGAGGTTGTGATAAGATTGAGAGTTTGGAGTGGGGAGTGATGGATGAGGAGAGAAGGGTACTGTGTCCCGAGAACCAAGGATTAGCGGATCATGTGTTGCAGAAGAAGCGAGAGTACGCAGATAAGCCCAAGGGTTTGTCTGAAAATCTGGAGAGGACATTTCTTAAGGCGTATAGAAGTGTCTGCGACTCTAAGGATCCCATTTCAACAATCAAAGACTTATCGCACATAAAGTATGTGTCTTGCTTTCGTTTGTACTTCTCTCTTTTTTCTCTATGGGTTTTTTGTTGTTCTTGCTATTAGGGTTTTGGGTTTAATGTGAGTCTTGTTTGATTGAGTGATGTAATCATTCAGCGGCTTAGAGAGTAATAAGATATGTGTGTGTCTTTTAAATTGACATCACATTCAATGTTTGTTCCTGTTCTCATTTTGACTTAGGTTTTGTGTTTATAGTCTCAAGAGTGAGACACTTTTTGGTAGACTCGGATATTGTTTCTTTGTTTCAGAGAAAGATTTTGTCTACCATTCACTTTAGTTTCTTGAATGCAAAGCAGAACTGAGATAGTGAGTGGTTTTAGCTTTTGGAGTAGTGTTTGATTCTTGGTTTTGTTGCATAGGGGCTTTGGCAAGTGGATGCTTAAGATGACGAAAGGATACTTTGATAATGGGGCTGAAACTTCTGAACAAGAAGATTTGCCTGAAAATTGTGCTGGTAATGGTGTTAACTGTATCCAAATATCACACCTGTTCGTATGAGATATCAGTGGTAAGGTAAACATGGTGCTTTTTTAATTTATTATGTTCAGGGAACAAGGCTAAGGGAAGAAAACGGTACACTCCGCAAAGAAACTCTGTGGCTTATGCATTACTAATAACGTTGCACAGGTTACTTCACATGTTTAATTTTCCTCTCAGTGTGTTCTTTTTTCCCCTATCTGTAAACCCTTCTTCAGGAGCGTTTTTGTTCTTTTCGGTTTACTAGAGAGACTGCGAATGGGAAAGAGTTCATGCGCAAAGCTGAGCTTATTGATGCTACTGAAGCTAGTGGGCTCTCACACGCTCCTGTTGCGTATGATTTACTCACCTTCCTAACCTCCAATATGTTGATTTGCTTCTTTGCCTTTATCTTTGATTTATTTTTCTATGTTGGTAGGCCAGAGAAAGGGAAAGGAAAAGCAGGACTTGGAAACTCTAAGAGGGAGTGGTATAGTGGATGGAACTGCATGACAACACTTATAAACAAGGGTTTAGTGGTGAAATCTAGCAACCCTGCAAAGTAAAACACTCGACTTTAAAACACTTCTTAACATATCTTTGTGCCATTTGACTAGTACTATATGTATATAAGTTGACATTTATACCTTGTAACATAGGATGTGATATTGCTTTTATTCATAGGTACATGCTGACAGATGAAGGTCGGGAAGTGGCAAATGAATGTATCACAAGATCTGGATTACCTACACTTGACCTCTTATCCGATGATGAAATGGATCCAACGGAAACAGCTAATCAAAATTTCACATCTTCTTGTACCGTTAGAGAAGAACAAACAGCCATTCCTAGTGATATTCTTGAAAAGGTACTCCCTCAAATATTTTTAAGCTTCACTTTTCTTTCTTATACAGTGTTGTTTGTGTAAGTGTTAATATTTGTTTAACTTTTTGGTTGTTTTCTATAGTTTACACCGTTTGGTTATTCCAAGGATCAAGTCGTTGCTGCATTCAGAGAGGTTTCAGATGGATCTCAGGACAAAGATCCATCAACTCTCTGGTTATCTGTAATGTGCCATCTTCGTCAAGCAGAAGTTTATAATCCCTGTCCAGACTCTCGAAATAGAAGAAAAGATGCAGCAGGACCTTCCAGAGCGCAAACTTGTACGGTCTTTAGCAATCATATGATCTAATTTCTTTATTGCTGTGTCTGTTGAAGGTATGTTTCCTTTTATGAAGTTTTAGCTATAAATTTACAGGTCAAGTTGATCTGGAGGAAACTCATGCCAAGAAGTCCCGCTCATACACCTCAAAACCATCTTCATCCGGTCCAAGTCATGCTCCATTTCAAGCCTGCTCATCCTCTGTATGTAAAATTTGTGTTCAGTAGATAATTAGCGTTATTATTTAAGATCAACACCAACAAGATTGATAATCAGCATTATTTGTTCGTTACTGTGGCAAAGTTACCTTCTAATGGAACCAATGGAGTTACAAATATTCCATGTCTTCCTCCTCTTACATTTGGAGAAGCTTTTGAGGAATCATATCAAGTGATCTTGATACTGGATGACCGAGAGCAGTTTGCCACTAAGGGGTATGTGGTGAATCTAATATTTCCTCTTCTCGTTTCATTCAACTTGAGCTTTCTTATGATGTCATTATGAAAGTATGATAATCAGTCTATCTATGTTGTTGCTGTTGGTGACAATCTACCTTTAAAACCCACATGTTCTTATTCACAGGTCACGGTCCAGGAAAATCGTTGATTACATATGCTCTGAATTCAAGATCAAGATTGAGGTTAGCCTTTGTTTTTTTTCCCTGGATAGAATTGATCAGATTCCAAATTACACAAACTAACTGGAATGATGGTTATTGAATCTGTAGGTTAGAAGATTACCAGTAGGGGATTGTATTTGGATCGCTAGGCACAAGTTGCTTGGGACTGAATATGTTCTGGACTTCATCGTTGAGAGGAAGAACATTGACGACTTACGCTCATCAATTAGAGACAATCGCTATAGGGACCAAAAACTTAGACTTCAGGTGTGTGAGTTGTCTACTTGCTCAACGTTTCCTTGATACTTGTTTCTCATTTTCTTCTTATAAAAATGGTGTTCTTGTTAGAGATCTGGAATCAAGAAGCTGATATACATCATTGAAGGAGATCCAAACCAGTCGGATGCAGCAGAAAGCATCAAAACAGCGTAATAATTTCTTTTGATTGGTCATGCATTTTTCCTGGAGATTTGGAACCAAATTTGTATATATGCTTTTGTAGTTGTTTCACAACGGAGATTCTGGAGGGATTTGATGTGGTGAGGACAAGCGGGCTTGGTGAGACATTAAGAAAATACGGTTATCTCACTAAATCAATACACGAGTACTACAAGTCGCTTGTGAATGATGATGATGACCAGAACAACGTGGCGTCGTATCCTTGTTTTGATAGTTTTGTGAAAAGGTGTCAAGACCTTGATAAAATGACAATCAGCGATGTATTTGCCATTCAGCTTATGCAGGTACACTGATAATTATCTTTCTTGTTAAGCCTTTTGAGTCAAGTATTGTGGATTAGTGTTAAACTTCTCTTGGTGCAGGTCCCGCAGGTAACTGAGGAGATCGCCATAGCTGTTCTTGACATGTACCCAACGCTTGTATCTCTTGCTTCTGCCTATTCTCAGCTAGTAAGCTTCTTCTTTTTGCTTTGCCTGAGATCTTCTTGCTTTTTAAACAAAAAAAAATCTTGAGCTAGAAAACAATCAATATTTGTTTTGAAGGAAGGGAATGTGTTAGCGCAAGAAGAGATGTTGAGAAAACGGAGTAACAATGTGATATCTGCATCAGCTAGTAAGAATATATTCAAGCTAGTTTGGGCTGAGTGACGTCCACACCTTGTGTGTTTGAGGGTGAATGACGTATTGTGCAACAGCTAGTAATAATGTAAGCAAGTTGCTCTTTTTAGAATGTAAACCGTTACTTTGTTACTTGTTGGTAACGATTGAAAACAGTACGTGGGTTAGTTATGCTCGAAAAGTTGATTTGTAAAATTATTGGAAGATTAGAAACCCCCAACAAGAAAATAAGGTCTTGGTTACTTGTTAAACACCCTTCTATTTTGGGCGTGAGTCGCGTGACCATAATCGGACTATTTTAATTTGGACCGGCAGGATCCCTAATCACATCTCGCAGTCTGCAAAAGAATACATTGTAAGCTTTCAAAAGACAAATTACATTGGGCACGTCAGGTTGCCTGGTCTTTACAGAAGGATACTGATTTTCTTTATGCTGCCGTGTTTTTATTATACCTAAACAGTTTGGTTATGACGTCATTGCAATTTATATTCGTTTCTTGGTCTAAACCAAACCTAATTTGTCACGTTCAAATCAAACCGAGCTTTAGTCTCAATCCAATTCGGTAAGAACTGTTACAAACCGCACTAAACCGAAAGTAAAAACCATGTAAAACTGCCTTTTCTTTTCCTCAATTTTGACTTGTTGATTCTTGTAACCAAACTGTTTCTTTAATCCCTTGTTCTGATTGCAGCTATGCGACAAACGAAGAGGTTGCTATAAAGAAGATAGCAAGCTTGTTTGACAACATATTTGATGATAAAGAACTCTCAGGGTGGTCATCAAATGGATACTGATTTGGACCAGATCAAAAGATCCAATTCCCAAAGCAACCATCAGTCATGGTATACAACTGTTGTTACCATTTTGTTTGTTTGATTGGTACACGGTCTGAATCCAACAGCTGGAACTTATCACTGACTACTTGAAAAAGATAACGCATATTCTTTTTTCATGTGGAAAGAAACGAATAACACAAATTCGTATGAAACCAACAATAAAAGTTAGAGAATCACAAATCCAACATTAAAAACCAAATCCTCATCATAATAATAAAATCTCCTATATATTAATTGAGAAACATTTGAAAAGATGTAAATTTAAGTTTGTATTAATTAAAAAATAATCCGATCATACGTGGCACTTCTCTATACCTTTTATTTCAAAATAGAACAATTCTAGAGTTTCTAACATAAAGTATAGTTTAAAAATAATATTCTCTAGCAATATAATATTTCACAAACTATAGTTAGTCGCATATATCAAATCCCCTATATATTAATTGAGAAACATTTGAAAAGATATAACTTTAAATTTGTATTAAATAAAAAATAATGTGATCCTACGTGGCACATCTCTATGCCTTCTATTTCAAAATAGAATATTTATAGAGTTTTTAATATAAAATGTAGTTTAAAAATTATACTCTCTAGCAATATAATATTTCACAAACTATAGTTGGTCGCATATATTAAATATTTATTGTTTCGCAAGTTTTCCTTAAATAAAACCTAAAGAATAACCTAATGTGATTAAAATATATATATATATGACAATTAGTGATTTTAGAGAATAAAGATTTGATAACAATTTGTATACTTTTTTTATCATTTGTTTATTTTTTGTTATTAAAATAAATGACACAATACATTAATCGTATAATAAAAATTTAGATTTTTTTTTGTGTATGTTGTATTTCGAATTTTTCAAAACGAGTATAAATTACTAAAACTGTTAAAAGTCTCACATAAGCTTTTATGATCAAAGTTAAAAAAAATGTATATATTAAGATACAATGACTACGACCATATGAAGAAATAATTTTATTTTAATATATTTTCTGTTAATATATATGCAGATATATATATATATATATATATATATATATATATATATATATATATATATATATATATATATATATATAT